GCATCAGTTTTCCATAGCACTGACTTGTAAATGCTAATGTATGTAAATTATGTAAATAATAATAATAATAACATGAATTCAAATTTTTTGCTCTAAGTAGTTAATCATCGCAACTTAGCTGGTCTTTGAACTCCGAATTCCAGTAATCGGAATGTTGAGGAAAAGAAGCTGAAGATAGACGAACACGAACGACTTTTCTTTGTAAGGTATATGTATTTAAACTGTGCAGGATTCATGATGTCAGTATAATAAGGGCGTTAAAAGTTAGGATACCAAAATTGGGAATTTAGGAGTGATTAATGTAATCACTTTGTTTTTCGAAACGAAAGGAGTGTGAGTTAGCAAATTCTATTTTCGTTTCGTTATGATTTTGTTTTCAGTTACTTTATTATTCTTTCTATTGTTTAGTTAACCTGTGAAATTTTAGTTTACATTTAAACGCTAATTCACCTTCTAGCTAATTACGTCATTTAAAGTTCATAAGAGTTGTGAGACCGACATCAGTTTCCCTATCGGTGACTTGCAAATATTAATGTTGGTAATGAGTGTAAATAATGTTAATATACATTTTTAATATCTACAATATAAACCATGTTATGAGCTTCAATGAGCTCGCTCACGAGAGATTGTTGAAAAGTGTTTATTATTGGATATTTTGATAATTTAAATATTAATCCTGATATTGATGATGTGTTCTTTCATCTTAGTACGAACTCCTGACCACCTGCATATCCATAAGCTATATACGAACTACTTAATAGTTTATAATTGATTAAAGAACGACGTTTTCAAAACAACCACCGAACAAAACTAATTCAAGATATTATACAGAAGACAAGATCCAACGTTGATAAACTAGTAACCGTAAGTCATAATTAAAAGTAGTAAACTTACTAGCGCTAGTATCATGAATACATCCATTATATTCTACAGTAATTAATTTATGATAATTTTGTCCAGTTAAAATTCTTTAAACACAATTCTGATCATTCTATAAATTTTCAGAAAATTAAATTACGGAAGAAGGCTTGGAGATTTGTCCTTCCAACAAAATGAACTAATTCTGGTGTATCCGCGTCTCATCCTTCGACATAACATGTTGATCAGTTATGTCTTCTACTCAACCTAGCTGATCTTTGAACTCAAACCTTCTGTACGTTGAACCAGAGCAGGAAAGTAGAAAATACGAAGCTAAAGATTCAAGAACACGAGTGATTTCTCTTTTAAAGTGTCTGTACTGAAACTGTAAAGAATTCATGGTGTCAGTATAATGAGGGCATTAAAAGTAAGGATAACAAAATTGGGAATTTATAAGGAGTGATTAATGTTATCACTTCGGTTTTCGAAAAGGGAATGAGTGTGAGATAGCAAATTCTGTTTTTATTTTGTTATGGTCTTATTTACTATTCAATTATTCCTTCTATCGTTTTGTTAATCTGTTAATTTTAATTTATTTTTAAACGCTAACTCACATTCCAGTTAATCACATTAATTTTTCAATTTCTATAAATTTGTGAGACTGCCAGTTTTCCATAGCGGTGACGTACAGATATTAATGTTGGTAAAGTGTGTCCACATGATTATCGGATGAATTCTGATATCTTAGTTAATTATCGTAGATTTGCTGGTCTTAGAACCAAGATCTTCCATCAGGCTGATCAAGAGCCAGAAGCGAAAGAAGATAAAACCGAATATAGAAGAAAATGGAATGACTTCGCCTTGTAAGGTATCTGTATTTAAAATATTAAGGACTGACAATGTATGTTTAAATAGGGCATTAAAAGCAAGGACTCAAAATTTTTATTACGGTTTGGATTTGTTTACTGTTCATTTATTATTCATTCTATCGTTTAGTTAAGCTATGAATGTTTAGTTTACATTTAAAAGCTACCTCACAACCTAGTTATACACACCAATTTCACATTGAAATAAATTATAAGATTTGCATCAGTTTTCCATAGAGTGACTTGTAGATGCTAATGTTTGTAAAGTATGTAAATAATAATAACATGAATTCAAATCTCTTGCTCTAACTAGTTAATCATCGCAACGTAACTGAAAACAAAACCATAACAAAATGAAAATAGAATTTGCTAACTCACACTCCTTTCCTTTCGAAAAACAAAGTGATTACATTAATCACTCCTAAATTCCCAATTTTCGTATCCTTACTTTTAACGCCTTTATTATACTGACATCATGAATCCTGCACAGTTTAAATACATATACCTTACAAAGGAAAGTCGTTCGTGTTCGTCTATCTTCAGCTTCATCTCCTCAACATTCCAGTTCAGATTACTGGAAGTCCGAGTTCAAAGACCAGCTAAATTATTATTCTTTCTATTGTTTAGTTAATCTGTAAAATTTTAATTTACATTTAAACGCTAATTCACCTTCTAGCTAATTACGTCATTTAAAGTTCATAAGAGTTGTGAGACCGACATCAGTTTCCCTATCGGTGACTTGCAGATACTAATGTTGGTAATGAGTGTAAATGTTCATATGCATTTTTAATATCTAGAATATAAACCCTGTTATGAGCTTCAATAAGCTCGTTCACGTGAGATTGTGGAAAAGTGTTTATTATTGGATATTTTGATAATTGAAATATTAATCCTTGTATTGATGATGTGTTCTTTCATCTTAGTACGAACTCCTGACCACCTGCATATCCATAAGCTATATACGAACTACTTAATAGTTTATAATTGGTCAAAGAACGACGTTTTCAAAACAACCACCGAACAGAACTAATTCAAGATGTTATACAGAAGACAAGATCCAACATTGACAAGCTAGTAACCGTAAGTCATAATTAAAAGTAGTAAACCTACTAGTGCTAGTATCATGAATACATCCATTATATTCTACAGTAATTAACTTATGAAATTTTGTCCAGTTAAAATTCTTTAAACACAATTCTCATCATTCTATACATTTTCAGAAAATTAAATGCCGGAAGAATGTTTGGAGATTTGCCCTTCCAACAAAAT